AGTTTGTTTGAGTCTATGTGGCATTGCAATAACAATTGCAAAATTTGCAAGTGTCAGATAAAATTATGATGAGGTGGCCATTTGCAATTCATTTTGAAAGGGTTTTGCAAACCCTGTGTGGATGGCCTCAGGCTAGCTCTTTCTGAAGGAATCTTTTCTGAACTGCAAAAATGGAACAGCACCTTGTCCCAGATTCAAGCTGTGATTGTTGATGCAGGTCAGAAGCATCTAAGAGAGATAGCTGTTCAGTTATGGCTGAACAAACTCCAGTATTTGGCTTACGAGATAGACGATGTGCTAGATGATTTGACCACTGAAGCTATGCAACGCCAGTTGAAAGAAGAATCTTATGCCTGCACCAGTGCTAGTAAGTTATCGAAGATCATTCCAGCTTGGTGTACTAATTTCGCTCCTCGTAACATTGTGTATGGTCGTAAAATGAGTTCTAAACTCGATGAGATTACAACCAAATTGCGTCATCTTGTAGAGGAGAAAAATATTCTGGGTTTGAATAGTAACGTTGAAAGGTCAAATAGAGCAAGTAGACGATTGGAGGAAACTTCGTTGGTTGATGTGTCCGGAATTGTAGGTCGGGAGGGGGATAAAGATGCATTGCTCAGGAATTTGTTGGGGAACGACTCGTGTAGTGAAAATGTCAGCATCTTGTCCATAGTCGGCCTAGGAGGGATAGGGAAAACCACTCTTGCCCAAGTTTTGTACAAAGAAAAGAAAGTAAAGGATCACTTTGAACTCATGGCATGGGTTTCGGTTTCTGACGAGTTCGATGTATTTAATATTAGCAAGGCTATTCTTCAAGCTGTAGGCGGGGAGGATAAAATGTTTGCTAATCTAAACCTGCTACAAGTGGCCCTTACAGAAAAACTTTTAAAGAAAAGGTTCCTACTTGTTCTAGACGATGTTTGGAACGAAGACTACAAGGAGTGGGAACTCCTCCAACGCCCTTTTCTTGCAGGGGCGTTTGGGAGTAAAATTATTGTGACAACTCGGAAGACCACAGTTGCATCAATGATGGACTCTGTTCAAGCTTACCCTCTGAAGCTTTTGTCAAATGAAGAAGCTCTATCTTTATTTTCTCAACATGCTTTGGGTAAACAAAACTTTGATTCACATCCAACACTTAAATTGCATGGTGAAGGGATCATGAAGAAATGTGGTGGATTGCCTTTGGCTTTGATAGCAGTTGGGAGGGTGTTGAGAACAAAACAAAATGATGAAGAATGGGAGGAGTTGTTGAATAGTGAGATATGGAATTTCCAGAGTGAAAGTAAGATTCTTCCGGCTCTAAGATTAAGCTACTATGATCTCCCTCCCCATTTGAAGCAGATGTTTGCTTATTGCTCCTTATTCCCCAAGGATTACGTGTTTCAAAATGATGAACTAGTCCTTCTATGGATGGCAGAAGGGTTTTTATATGAGTCAAAAGGTAGCAAGTCAATGGAGAATTTAGGTCGCGAGTGTTTTGAGGAGCTAAAATCAAGGTCGTTTTTTCAGCCTTCAAGTAATGATAAATCCAGATGTACAATGCATGACCTGATAAATGACTTGGCCATGAGTATTGCAAGAGAGTTTTTCTTTACGTTGGATGATAAGATGAATGTGTACGACAAGATTGGAGCTTTGGAGAAGTTCCACCACCTTTCATTTATTCGTCAAGAATATGGAGTATATAGAAAGTTCAAGGCATTAGAAAGAGCTAGTCGCTTGCGATCTTTCTTAGCAGTGTCAGTAACGTTAGATGCTTGGCAAAGTTTCTCCTTATCGAACAAGGTTCTTTTCGAGCTACTTCCCCAACTACGGTTCTTAAGGGTGCTAAGCCTAACCAATTATTCAATCACAGAGGTACCACAATCCATTGGTAGTCTCAAGCATATGCGGTACCTCAATTTTTCCAAAACGAACATCACATGTTTACCGGAACAAGTGGGTGACCTTTATAATCTACAGAGCTTGTTGGTTTCCGGTTGCGTTTCGTTATCTAGCTTGCCAGAGAGCTGTTGGAAGTTAATAAACCTGCGACATCTTGACATCAATGATACTCCAAGATTGACCAAGATGCCCTTTGGGATTGGTGGCTTGACGAGTCTACAAACTCTATCCAAAGTCATTATTGCAGGAGCTAATGGGTTTAAGATATCTGATCTTAAGGGCCTATCGCATCTTCAAGGTCAGCTTTCGATTAAGGGGCTGCAAAAAGTCCCAAATGCAATACAGGCAAAAGAGGCCAATTTGCTGCAAAAGAAGGGTCTTTGTGATTTGGAGACGGAATGGAGTGATGTCCTTGATGATTCTCGGAATGAAATAAATGACTATGAAGTACTCGAAGTACTAAGGCCTCATGATAAGCTGAAAAGCCTGAAGATTTTGTACTACATGGGAATGGAATTTCCTAGCTGGGTTGGGGATGCCTCATTTGGTTGCTTAACCCAGCTTACACTACGTGGCTGTAAAAGTTGTACATGTTTACCAACACTTGGACATTTACGGTCACTTCAGAAGTTGTTTATTGAAAGCATGAGTGGATTGAAGAGACTGGGTTCGGAGTTACTTGGACATGCTGATTCTTTTTGCCATGGAATTGCATTTCCATCGCTTGAACTTTTGGAATTTAAAGACATGCAAGGCTGGGAGATATGGTCAACTAATGACGGTGGGAAAGATGGTACTGGTGGATCGTTTCCTTGCCTTCGTAAGATTTGTATTAGAAATTGTCCAAAACTAGCTGTAGTGGCAATTGAATCAATACCGTCACTTCAGGTTTTATATATACGAGGATGTTCTGTAGCGGTATTAAGAAGCATGGTTGGTGTGTCTCCATCAATTCTTAGGTTGACAATGGTGAATGTTGAAGGGCTTACTCAACTACATGGAATTTTAGAACATCTTAGGGCAGTTGAATATCTATGCGTTAGAGAGTGTGATGAACTTAGATACTTGTGGGAATCAACATCGGATGCATGCAAGATTCTTGTGAATTTATATGATTTGAAATTAGTATCCTGTCAACAATTGGTATCATTGGGAGAGAAAGAGGTTGATTTGGGGATTAGCTTGAAGTCTGTTAATGTCGTTCTTTACGATTGTCCTGGACTGGTAAGTTACAATTGTCCAAACAGTATTGAGAAGTTGGTGATACACGATTGTGATTCAGCTACATCCTTGACCTTCCCAGCAAGGCATGACCTCCCTTCCACTATGAAGATTCTTGACATTATGTCATCTCACAATTTGGAGGTGAGTTGGCTTTTCAACAGCTTCTTATCATCACTTGAATATCTTTCCATTGATGAAGTGCCGAATCTGAGGTCGTTTCCTGAAGGATGCTTAGTTCATCTTACCAGATTGACAATTTGTGGTTGTGATAACATAGAACTGATTCCTGGGGACGGTTTTGGTTTTCTTCCCCATCTCTGCTTAAGATATCTTCATATCAATAACTGCAAGAATCTTAAGTCATTTCCTTATGTGCATTTACAAAGTCTCACATCTTTGGAAGAGCTATTGATAAATGATTGTCCAAGTATGGACTACTCCTTTCCTTGTGGTTTGTGGCCTCCTAATTTGAGTAAACTAGTAATAGGAGGGTTAAAGAAGCCCATGTCAGAGTGGGGGCTGCAAAATTTCCCAACCTCACTTGATAAATTATATATACAAGGCCAAAATTCAGGAGTAGTTTCGTTTGCAACGGCAGAAGATGTGTGGAATAGCAGCAATACTAGTTCATTGCCTTTTCTTCTTCCATCATCTCTAACATTTATACAATTCCGGGATTTTATGGACTTGGAATCACTTTCAGAGGGCTTACGACACCTCATCTGTCTTGAAGAACTTGTTATTCGGTCATGCCCGAAGCTCGGAGATCTGCCAGAGACACTGCTTCCTTTACTTTCATGTTTGCTGGTGATTTCTTGCCCGAAACTGGGAAAGAAGTGTCGTAATAGAAAAGGCAACTACTGGCCCATTATCTCCCAAATTCCTTCTCTTCGTGTACATGGTTGATTAAAGGTACATCCTCTCGGCTCTCCTTGGACTGTTCTTTTTTAAACATCTCCCTTATTCACATTTGCAGAAGTTATCCTATCTCACTATGTTTTCTCTCTCTCTCTCTCTCTCATAAAATCAAGCTCTAGATGACTGCTATGTGAGATCCTGCCACAAGTGAATCCCATCAGAAATCCTCTGTTTTGCTGGAGCTCTCTCTTTTACAAGTCTTGCATCCATATCAGAAGTCCATTGAAGGCAGTCTCTAAGGTCTCTCTCTCTAACCACAAGGGTGGTGCCTGATTGGGTTGAGCTTGGCTCCAAAGGTCAAAAGTTTCAGGAGGTCCCAGGTTCAAATCCAAGGAGGAATAAAATTCCCCTTGTGGGCCATGGAGGTTCAAATGCGGTGACTCCGGGCTATCTGCAAAACAGGTGGTCGCCAGGTGAATAAAAAAAAGAGTCTCTCTCTTTCTCTCTCTCTCATCTCCAAATGTGCTCTCTTGTTTCCATGTTTATATAATTTGGTTTCTAATAATTTTCTTTTCTGTTTTGTTTTTAGATTTGTAAGGGGTTGGAATTTGGAACAAGTGCTGCTCAAACTTTGTCTCCATTCAGCCACCTGTGTTATATATCACCACCAAAGTATGATCCCATTCTTAGCTAAAGAGGGAAATAAATAACCAACCCTTTTTCTCATTTCAAGAAAGTATTTGTTCCTTATAGCCTTATAGGTAAGATTCGTAGTTTTTAATTCTTATTGGGTTTTTCTGTAATGATTTGGCTGAAGGAAAAAACAAAAAGTCCCTTTTTTTCAGTATTTATGTGTAATTTTGTAGCATCTGTGATTAGGATTTGTAATATTGATGGGAATGTAGGCGGGTTCTATAGTTCTATTAGTCCAGTGCTACCATTATTTCAGAAAACCAATTTTTATGTGCAAATGCCCAAACCTCATTCTCTCTTGAATCTGTTCTCTCTTCTTTTGCATTGCTAATGGGTTGTAGATGGTTTCTTTGTGATGTGATCATCTCTTGAAGAAGGTCTCCTGGAAAACTTCTGCTGTTTTATAATAATTTTTGCCTCTTTTGGCAAATGATATGGTGCTTTCTTGAGTTTATGCATGCTTCACTTAATTGAAGGGGTAAGTTTGTTCTATGTCCTTTAAATTTCTTGTTGGGGTTTTCAATTCGAGTGTTCTGATTTTTGGCTGTGTCTAGAAGTATGTATGAGATCTTGATGGATTTCTCAATCTGGATGATTTTTATTTGTGGGTTTATCACTTTACCTGTATTTTATTGTCAGCTTCAATTTTTTTCCTAATATGTTTATAATCATATGCAATAGTATTTAGGCATATAAGCTTGATTTCATGATTACGTTTTTTTGATTGCTATGATATTTATAGTTAGATGCTGACAAATATTTGGTTTTTTATCTGGAAATTTAGAACCTTTCTGTTTTATGATTAGGGATTATGTCATTGGTGGGGTGGGTTCACTTTTTTGCCTTTTCCTCCCATGATCTAGGGGCTTTCTTAGTCCTTTAAGTTGTTAGAGTTTGCAGGGAACAGCGCTAGACCCCTTGGCCATACTACCAGCAGGAAGTTACGATCCTAAAATTGACCCTAGATTTTGTAAATTCCATTGGATTTTTAGGACGAAAAACACACGACATTATAAATCAGTGTCTAGATCATGATTCTGAAGCCTTAGATTGGAGTTCTTTTTATGGAAACCATGATACTTAGTTTCTTCGGTTCTTACAAATTGGAAATGTAAATAAAAGTGGTCTAGACATAGAATATGATGTTTTGCTACATCAAACAATAATCAATAGGGTTCAAATGATAGGAATATAAATGTATTCATTCAAAAAAAGTTGATTTCATGTTGTGCTCCCAATGGTTTGAAAATTGTTGGCATGTTTTCTGATGGCTTCTTTGTCGAATATCAGGGGATGATGATCAAGAGGGATTGCATCCCAACAGATTGTGTACACGGCTACGAATCAGAAATTCATACTCTCTTCTTAACCGTCTATCGAAGTCCTTACAGATGAATATCTTTATGAGATCTTGTCAAGCTCGGAGTGCTTCAATTTGTATCTCAAACTGTTGGTTCACCCTCGGATATTGTTCATAATGGATTTCTTAGGAGAATGATGGGTTTCTTGCAAGGTGTTCAGAAGGAAAGAAAGCAACAGTTGGCAGATTTCTTTCTTCGGCTCCCAGGTCTTGTTAAAAACACTCAATCTCTTGCATATATAGATTATCATCCCCTGTTCTATTTGTGGCTTAATTACACACTCTTGGTCATATAGAGAATCGCTTCCTTTAGACATGCACTTTGTACCACATGCTTGTTTCGAGTAATTCATTACTTGACATCAAAATCCTATTAAGCCAGATCTTTTAGTGGAACTCCAGTCTATAGCCACTGTCGATTGTTAGTCGCTACCATTCTTTTTTTTTATCATCTTTCGGACCATATAAATAGGATGCATATGATATGAGATGAGAAACGTATGGACTAATTATAATACAAAGTCTAGTTACAGAGATTCAGCCTCTTAGATCAAAGGTCCCAATTCTGTATGTTAGAATCGGCATCAGACAGCTATTCGGTTTCGACTCTAGAAAGCAACCATGGCTGCTATACTCCCTAGTCTTGATGGAACACAAAAGATGGCCACCAAGAAGAACACAAGGATGACAGTATCCAACCGGTTAATATTTAGTAAACGGCGTACGTGCTTTGGCTTAATAATGACATTTAGTAAATGTCTCTATTAATTTCTTAGACGTATTATCACATCCCCAAGGGTTAGACCCACTTTTTACAGGTGAATAGAATATTTATGATTAAACTCTCGATTCAAGTAGTCATTTTTTTGGTATCTCCCAAGAAGCTGGAACTACCATTTTAACCCTTGGGAGGGAATTTTGTTCACAAACCTAAAGTTTATAAGCAAAAAGCTTATAAATAAGAACGTTGGTTTTTATCTTAAACTTGGTGTGAAGTGACATTTTGTTAGTTTTTGAATTAAATATTTGATATTTACTATAAAGATGTAATAACTATTGATATTGAAAAAATACATCAGACCCATAAAAGGGTTCTTTTAAGAACTATCGTTGTGGACTTTTATATATATTTTTAATTTGATGAGTTAAAAGTGATGATATTTAGATGTTCGGTTGGAGATGCTCACCTCCAATGATCCATGTGAGTAGGATTTATGATAAAGTAGATTCTTGAAATTTCTTCTATTTTCATTCTGCATTTTTATTGTGAATTTTGTTCGTTTAATTTTAAATAAAATCTAGGGTTAAATGCATGAAATAGCAATCTACTTTCATAAAATTTCTTATTATAGCATTCTACTTTTGTTTTTTTTTTTTATTACAGCAATGTACTTTCAAATTATTTTTTATTAAAGCATTGTACTTTAAAAAATCTACCCATAATAGCAATGGATAACCTGTTACCTTTTAAACCGGTTAACCCTTTGACTTTTTTGCTTGTGTGGCTTTAATGAGGTGATGTGGATGACACATCATTTTGATGACTTAACTAAAATTAAAATAAAAACYTATTTCAAATTATTATTAGTGATTTTCATTTTTCATTGCTATTATCTAAAAAACATTTAATTTTTGTACTTTTTCTTATTAAGTTGCATTCAAATTAAATATTCTTAGTAAAAGATTTATTAAATAGATATGAAACATTATTTTCGAGATATATTTTGTTTGTAAAAAAGACATTTTTTCCTATTTTATGCTGTTCAAATAAATATATCTTTTGAAGTTCTCTTTAAAATATTAACGAAATAAATTGTTATCTACAATTTTTTAATATTGTTATATTAATAAATAATTCAAAAAATCTAATTAATTTAACATATTTATACGTCAAGTAAAAAGTTTTTWAACAAATATAATRTATTTTTTAAAAGATAATATTTTTTGGTAAAAAAAGAACAATTCTAATTTTCCTTTTTTTGAAAAACACATTTTTTTTAAAATATTAGCGAGATAAGTTGTGTTATACTAGTTTTATTGATATTGGTATATTAATGAATAATTTATAATTTTTTAATTCATTTAATATATTTATTAAATAACATGTAAAATATCTAAATATTAAAATTAAAAATACAATGTTTAATAAGAACTAGTAGATGCTATAATAAAATAATTTTGAAAGTACAATGATGTAGTAAGAAAGTCATATCACTATAGTACATGTGGATAGCCTACATAGACAATGAAGTGACATGGAAACCTAGTATAATGGGTAAATTTAAATCAAAAGGTTACCCAATGCTATAATGGGTAAATTTTTCAAAATACAATGTTCTAATAAAAAATAGTTTGAAAGTACATTGCTGTAATAAGAAAAACTGAAAGTACAATGCTATAATAAATTTTTTTATGAAAGTAGATTACTATTTTGTGTATTTTACCCTAAAATCTATTTTATAAAATAAAAACTTGTATAAAACTCTAAAATAGAGATGGCCAAATGGGCCCGGCCCGGCCCGTAACCGACGGAGGACCGGGACCGGGACCGGAGAGGGACCGGGACCGACCGGGACCGGTAGGGACCGGTTGAGGGACCGCCGGTTATGAACCGGTTAGGGTTTTTGACGTTTTTTGAGACCGGGACCAGTTAAGACCGGGACCGGTTATGTAACCGGTTATAGGCCCGGCCCGGCCCGGCCCGGCCCGGTCAACGAAAGTCAAGGAAACGTATATATATAATAAACCGTATTTTTATTGTGTATTTTTAAACATATTTACAACAAAACGTATTTATAAACGTATATATATATATATATAT